CACCCACATTTCCTTTCTAGCTATGGCTAAGTAGATGAATAGATGATAAATATAGATAGGTAAATAAACAGATAATAATCTGCCTTCTCTTTCTTCTCTATTACAATTTTTATCTTTTTATTAATTTTAATTGATGCATTATATTTGTATGTTTTTATAGGGTACAATTTGATGTTTTGATGCATATCTGTATTATATAATGATCCACACAAGGTAGTTAATGCATCATCACTTTATGCATTTATCATTCTTTTGTGGTGAAAACATTCAAAAGCCTCTCTTCTAGCTATTTTGTATTATGTACTACTTTACTATTAGCCATAGTCACCTGACTGTGCAACAGAACACCAGAATTTATTCCTACAAACTGGTAGTAACTTTGTATCTGTTGACAACTCTCCCCTCATTCTCCCCTATCCCTTTGGCTTCCCAGTCTCTGGTAACCACTGTTCTACTCTGTGCTTTTATGATATCAACTATATTTATTTTTTAGATTTTACCTATAAATGAGATAGTACTTGTCTTTCTGTGCCTGGCTATTTCACTTAGCATAATGTTCTCTGAGTTTGTCCATGTTATTAAAAAGAACAAGATTTCATTCTTTTTTATGGCTCTGTAATATTCCATATATACTTATATACATACATATATATCTCATATATATACCTATATATCAATAGATAGATAAATATACACACACACACCCCATTTTCTTTATCCATTCATTCATTTTGGACCCTTGGGTTGATTTTATACCTTGGCTGTTATACATAGTGATGCAATAAAAATAGGAAGGCAGATATCTCAACATATGGATGCCATTTCCATTGGATATATACTCAGATGATATCACTATCAAGATGTAGTGATATCTTGTGGATTTGGTTTGCATTTCCCTAATGATAAGTGATGTTGACCAGTTTTTCATATATATATTGAACATTTCATTTCTTCTTTTGTGAAATGTCTATTCAAGCCTTTTGCCCAATGTTTTAATCAAGTTGTTTGCGGAGTTTTTTTTCTTTTTGCCATTGAGTTAAGTTTTTTATACATATATTCTAGATATTAATCCCTTGAATTTACAAATATTTTCTCTCACTCTCTAAATTCTCTCTTCTCCCAACTTCACTTTACTAATAGTTTCCTTTGATGTGTAAAGGCTGTTTAGTTTGATGTAATCCCACTTATCTGTTTTGCTTTTGTTCCCTGAGCATCTGAAGTCTCATTTTAAGAATCTTTGCTGTATATTCCCAAATGACCAAAAATTGCATTACAACAAAGATATTTGTATCAGAATGTATATTGCAGCCCAATTCATAATTGCCAGGTCATGGAAGAAGCCCAAGTGCCCATTGATCCATGGATGGATCAACAAACTGTGGTATATGTATACCTTGGAATACTATGCAGCCATAAAGAAAGATGGAGACTTTACGTCCTTCATGTTCACATGGATGGAGCTGGAAAATGTTCTTCTTAGCAAAGTATCACAAGAATGGAAGAAAACGTATCCAATATATACACCCCTATTATGAAACTAATTTATATCTTTTATATGAAAGCTATAACCTAATAACAGCCTAAGAATATAGGGAGGGGGGAGGAAGAGGGTGGGGGGAATGGTTGGAGGGAGGGGGATTGGAGGGATCACTTCTGTGGTTTATCTTATAAGGGTACAAGTGAATCTTTATAAGAGTAGAATATGAACATTTTACACAGTAACTAAAAAAATGACATGAAGGCTATGTTAACCAGTTTGATGGAAGTGTTTCAGATTGTGTGTGAAAACACCACACTGTACCCTAGGAGTGCATTAATGTACATAGTTACCATTCAATAAAAAAAAAAAAAGAATCTTTGCTCAGCTCAATGTCATGAAGCCTTTCCTCTAAGTTTTCTTCTAGTAGTTTCATAGTTTCAGGTTTTACATTTAAGACTTTAATATATTTTGAGTCGACTTTTGTTTATGGTGCAAGGGGTCTAGGCTCATTCTTCTCCATGTGGATATCTAAGTTTCCCAGCACCATTTACTGAAGAGACTATCCTTCCACTAAAGTATGTTCTCAGAACCTTTGTGAGAAATGAATTGACTATAAATTCATGGATTTATTTCTGAATACACTGTTGCATTCTATTGGTCTGTTTGTCTGTTCTTATGCAAGAGCCATACTGTTTTAGTTACTAGACCTTTCTATAGTTCTGCAGTACATGTTTGCTGTGCTAGGATGGTGGTAAGATGTCTGTAGCTTTATTCTTTTTACTCAATATTGCTTTGATTATTCAGGGTGTTTTGTGGATACATAGTGTTTTAGGACTGTTTTTCCCATTTCTGTGAAAATGTAACTAGTATTTTCATAGGTATTACATCAAATGTGTAGATTGCTTTGGTTAGCATGATC